ATACTCGACACACACGCACTAAACGCTACTGTGCTTACTATACGCGTACACCTGGCGGCGATTCCGATGTGTAAGGTATAAATGTACACATACATGTATACTCGGGCGTCAAGATGCGTCTTCCCGGAAGCGTCGAAGGGCTTCCTCGAGGACAGTCAGGTGCGCGAGTAGTTATACATGTATACCCATATATATTCACGAGGTGGATATAGATGCAATGCGTGTACAATATTACACCAAATACTCAACTACATTTAAATTAAAGTTTAATTTCTACATGTGCGGGTAAGTATAGGTATATAATATATTACACGCTTGATATTGTGTGTTGATGTATACGGGCCAGCTCGTTCTCGAGCGAGCGCGTGCACAGCAGGTGCCGAGTTAACTATTATTGAATAGTATATAGACGAAAGATTTCCATTAGATCCGTCCGCGCGCATATGCTAATGAACGAGATACGCTTTTTACGCACAATAAGTATCGTAATTCACATCACGAACGTTGTGTGATCACTACGCGTCACTTTTCGTCTCGCTTCTCCCTAACCAGGGGTAAGTATATACGAGCAATCGTGACACACATATCATTCGACAAACTCATCGGCAAAAGAACAACAAAATTCTGATGTTTCGAAAAAAAAAAAAAAAAAAAAAAAAAAAAATACATAAATAAGCTGCTCTTTTAACCAATGTGGAGGAAACAAATTTTTTAAATAGACAACCAAACAAACGTGCGATTGTTACTTTCTCGGATGTATCATGCGACCGAGACAAAGATTTAAAAGAGTAAGGAGCTGGTGGGATGGGGGGTCAAATAACCCAAGGGTACAGGTATATATAGGTCTCTCTGTTACATGTGTAATCTCATTATTGTATTATACGTACACTCCCCGAAGGACCACGTAACGCGGATGCATTATTAATTTTACGAACTCCTCGACTGCATTTTTCATGAACTTTTCTCTTTTCGGCTCGACGGTAAATTTCAAGTGAAAAAAGCTCGATTACGCGCTGGAATAATCGTATTGGTATAAACAACTTTCGTTTTCACTGCATATATATATATGCGGCGCAGTAATGCGAACACGCTCCGCGTGATAAATGAAAAATCGTCCTTTTAACTTTGGCTCTGTCCCCTCCTCCTCCCCGTAGGATTTCGTGATTGTTCTCATGGACGGTCTTTTGTCGTACCTCGGATGACCGCCGAAATGGCTTTCTCTCTCACGCCTTTGCTTTGCGAAACTCGTACGTGTGGGTACAGCATATATATATATATATAGATGAATATACGTGTGATTC